CATGCTAAGCTCAAGGTGATGAGGAGGGACTTTGCACAAGCTTAGAAGTCCCTAGAGGTGGCAATTAGGGCCAATGAGACATATGCTGCGAAGGTCGGCGAACTCCTCGAGGTCATCAAGGCGACTAAGGGTGAGTTTGAGGCCGCTTCTGGTCAAGCTCGTTCCCTGGAGGAGGAGGGCAAGGTTTTGAAGGCCAAGCTGAAGGCAGCTAAGGAGCTATGCGATGAGGTTCTCCTTGTGAGCAGGGCTGAAAAAATAAGTGCCTTAAAGGCTGATGTCGAGATGCTTGCTTCGTCGAAGAAGAAGCTAGAAGATGAGCTTCAAGATACTGAACGGGCCGTCCTTATTGAGCATAAGAAGGGCTTTGCCAAGGTGACTCGTCAAGCCAAACTTCTTGCTCCGGGTGCAGATCTCTCCTTGATGGATATCAACAAGGATGTTTGGGGCGACCAATTGGTGAATGAGGATAATCTCGAGAGTTCAAGTGAAGACACGACTGTTTAGACTAGGACTTTATATTTTTTTTTGTTGTTTATGTATTTCCAGACTTGGTATTTGTAATGAATATTTATGCTTGAATGAAGCGTATTTTGCTTTGGTTTTCTCGTATGTTGCTTTTGTTTGGATAAGTGTGAATTGTGCTAAGGTTCGAATCCAACTTTAGTTAAAAAAAAATTGTACCAAGGTTCGAACACTAGTACAAAAGAGGTATTCCACGTCGGTTATTTTGAGCTTTTTACGTCGAAAAAAATACCGACGTTAATGCGGGAGACATAAATCTACGTCGGCATTGTAAAATTGACTTAAATTTACGTCGGACATTACCAAGGTCCGACGTAAAAAAGTAGTAAAAAAAAACATAACGCGTGGCCCGTTCTGCATGGAGAACGGGCCGTTCTGCATGGAGAACAGACCGTTCTGCTTGGAGAACGGGCCGTTCTGCAAGCAAAACGGGTCGTTCTATTTCATAGAACAACCCAAAAGAAAGGCCAACAACCCACACAAATAGAACAACCAAAAAATCGAATAGAATAGATAGCCACAATAGCAATGCGAAGAAAAAAGGTGTTAACGAAACCCTGATTCATACCTGATGAGCTACAACAGTGTGCGAATGAGTAACAAAGAGTTCACCCCACTCTACAGAAGACAAAAAAATGATTCAGTAACAAAGGAGAGGGAGAGGGTTTATAAAGAAAAAAAATGAAAAGTGATGAAGAGTGAATGCGCACAGTGTGCCTCGCACTCTCTTATTCAATTTTGCGTCCTTTTTATACGTCGGATCCTACCAGGTTCGACGTAAAAAAGTTGGCAAAAATTACAAAAATGCCAGGGCGTCTTTTTTACATCGGATTTTAGTGTGTCCGACGTTAAAGAGGTGACATAATATACTAATTTTGCACTAGTGGAATTCGACCTTGGCTAGATATAAATTGTATCAAGGTTCAAATTCGACCTTGGCTAAATACAAATTGTACCAAGGTTCAAATTCGACCTTGGCTAGATATAAATTGTTCCAAGGTTCGAATTCGACCTTGGCTAAATACAAATTACACCAAGGTTCGAATTCGACCTTGGCTAGATATAAATTGTACCAAGGTTCAAATTCGACCATGGCTAAATAAAAATTGTACCAAGGTTCGAATTCGACCTTGGGGAGATGCAGATTGTGCTAAGGTTCAAATTCAACCTTGGCTAAGTACAAGTTATATCTAGGTTCGAATTCGACCTTGGTTAGATGCAAATTGTACTAATTTGTTCTTGTCGAGTGTAGACAGTGCGAATTTAAGGATATGTGAAGAATGATAGTTCCTTTTATTGATTTGATAGGTGTGCCTCATTAAAACCTCTTCGGCCAAAACCCATTATTTTTTCTTAAGGGAAAAAACACCGAGGAGGAAAAAGAGTACAACACCTTGTTTTACAATTTAGCTAAAATAAAACTTGGGGTGAGTGGCGTTCCACGTTCTTGGAATGGTTTTGCTGTTGAGTTCTTCTAATCGATTTGCTATGTTGCCTAGGTCATCGATAACTCAGAACGGGCCTTCCTAGTTAGGCGCGAGTTTTCCTTCTGACAGGTTTTTCCTCGCCTCACCTTGTAGTCGCCAGACTAGGTCTCCGACCTGGAAAGCTCGTGGGTGGACCCTTGTGTTGTACCTTTTGGAGGCCCGGAGGTTGCAAGCTTATTCTATGATCCGAGCTTCTTCGCTGACTTCATCTACTAATCGAGGTTGGTCGCAATCTCCTGGATATTTTGCTCACTGTTGAAGGTGAGTCGCCGATGAGAAGCCCCGCCGACTTCAACTGGGATCATGGCGTTAGAATCGTAGGTCAGCCTATAAGGCGTTTCTTGGGTTGTCGACTGCAGGGTGCAATGGTATGCCCAGAGGATACTCAGGAGCTTGTCAACCCTCTATCCCTTAGCACTTTCAGCTGTTTCTTGAGTTCTTGGAGTATGACTTTGTTGGCGGCCTTAGCTTGGCCGTTGGTTTGTGGGTGTTTGACGGAGGTGGCGAGGTGCTTGATGCCGAGCTCTTGGATGAAGGTTTCGAAGCTTTGGGCAATGAACTATCTTCCATTATCGGTGATGAGATCGGCAAGCTATATTAGCAGATGATATTCTTCCATGTGAATTTTTAGACGTTCTCGGTGGTAATCTTGGCGAGAAGGCATGATTCAATCTACTTAGTGAAGTAGTCGACTGTTACTAGTAGGAATTTGAGTTGGCCCTTGGCGGGGAGCATGGTCCGAGGATGTCCATTCCCCACTAGGCTAAGGGCCATGGGGATGCTATTTGGTGGAGGACTTCTGGTGGCTGTCAGTGTGCGTTGCCAAACTGTTGGCACACTTTTCATTTTTGCACATAATCCTTGTAGTCTAACTTCAGCGTGGGCCAATAATACTCAGCTCGAATCACTCTAGATGCCATGAAGCATGCGCCGGAGTGCATGCCGCATATGCCTCGGTGAATTTCCTCGATGACGTAGTTGGCTTGGGGCTTGGTTAGGAATTTGTGTAGAGGGGCCAAGATACTTCTTTTAAAAAATTCTCCTGTAACAATGAAAAATTGGGATGATCTTACCTTCATTTTCTGAGCTTTAACTTTGTCCTCGGGTAACGTCCCATTCTGCAGGTAATTCCAGATGTCAATCATCCACTCTTTATCCTCAACGTCGTTGACACCGACGACCTTGACATCTAGGCTAGGGGAGTTGATGGTCTCTTGAATGATGGTTCGATGTTGTCCAGGGCACTTCGTACTGGCGAGCTTGGACAGGAGATCGGCCCTAAAATTCTATTCCCAAGGCACGTGGTGTATTGTGCATTCCTCGAAGGATGAATCCACTAGGATGCTTCGTGATAGTATCTTTGTAGTAGTGGGTCCTTGGTCTGGTAGGCACCGCTAAGTTGTTCCACCATGAGTTTTGAATCACTGTTGCAGCTTACCCTTAATGCTTCGATGTCCCATGCCAACCTTAATCCTGCCAACAATGATTCATACTCTGCCTGGTTGTTGGTGATTTTAAATCCAAATTTCAAGGACTATTCGATGGTGACTTGGTTAGGGCCTTCAAGGATAATTCATGCACCTCCGCCTTTAGTGTTGGAGGATCCATTGACGTACCAGGTCCAGGTTGGCTTTTCTTCTGTAGAGGTCGGGATGAGTTCGACCATGAAATCTGCTAGGCATTAGGCTTTATGGGGTCCTCGGGTTTCGTATTTGATGCCAAATTTGGATAGCTCGACTAACCACGCGATCATGCGCCTCGTGAGTTATGGTTTTCTCAATATCTGTTTAATTGGGTAGTTTGTCTTTACGACGACCTGGTGGCTTTGGAAGTAAGGTTGGAGACACCGAGCGAAAATGACTAGTGCCAATGCTAGCTTTTCAATCGTCTGGTACCATTTTTCTGTGTCCTGGAGAACTCGACTGACGAAGTATATGGGGATTTGTTCTTTGTGGCGCTCTTGCACTCACTACACTGATGGCATCCTCTACTACAACCAAGTAGAGAAAGAGGTCGGAACGATGGTCTGGCCTTTGTAGGACTGATGGGGTGGCGAGGAAGCTTTTGAAGCCCTTGAAGGGTTCTTCACACTGGTCAGTCCATTCAAAGTTCTTTGGCTTTCGTAGCAGGGTGAAGATGGGTCCCGCCTTCTCTGCCAACCTAGGTATGAAACGTGAGAGGGAGACTAACCTTCTTGCCAATCTCTAAACGTCCTTGATAGTTTGGGGACTTCGCATCTGTATGCCAGCTTCCCATTTCTCTGGGTTGGCCTCAATTCCCCTGTTAGTGATCATGAAGCCGAGAAACTTACCTCCCTGGACCCCGAAGATGCATTTCTCAGGGTTTAAGTGCATGTTGTACTTTCGTATCTGGTTGAACACATCGGCAAGGTCGGTGACGTGTGCCTCGGCCGATATGGTTTTTATGACCATGTCATCTACATATACCTCCATGTTCCTCCCAATTTGTTGATGGAATACCTTGTCCATCAATCTCTGGTAAGTGGCTCCCGCATTTTTTAGGCTGAAAAGAATCACGCGGTAGCAAAAATTGGCCTGATCAGTGATGAAGGCTGGGCTTTCCTTCTCTAGTGGGTACATCATGATCTGGTTGTACCTAGAGTATACGTCAAGGAAACTAATGAGAGCATGAGCTGTATTAGATGTATATTGTTGTAAGATGTTAAGATGTGCTGTAAGATGATAGCTGTGCTGTAAGTTGTTTAGCTGTGCTGTGCTGTGCTGTGCTGTGAGCTGTGTTAGCTATGCTGTAATCCCTTAGCCTCAAAGCTATTTAAGAAGTAGAGATTTAGGGAAACTGAATATTGCTATTTGCTACTTGCTAGCCATGATCTACCAACCAAATTGTCACAAAGATCCATTCTTTTCTCTTTTTGATAGAAATTTTTTCTTTTAAACTAAAAGGTTCAGTTGTGCTTCCAAAATGGAATTTTTCCATGTGAAATGAAATATATGATAGCTTAGATTTCTTTGGTTTAAAGTAGTATTAATCAAAGACGATAACCATTTTCTTTAGTTGTGCGACTCAAGGGCAATTGGATAGATCAGGACTTTTGGATTATTTCCTGATTAGCTCCTTTTGTAGCCACCTTCCTTTAACAGATACTAATTGCTTAGGCGGTTGATTAGTTGGTTGTTAGCCATGACTTTAGGAATTCTAGGGAAATTCTAATTGTTAGCCATCTCTTTTGTTGTTTAATGCTTTTGATAATCCTGTCTTCTGTTCTTATCTTAAAACTTATGTTATCTAAGAAGAAAAAATATTATTTGAAAGGCATCATATATGAACTTTACTGCAATTTAATTGTTCTTATTTTGAGTAAGCAAATCTTTTATTTGGAACTTTCTGGTTTCAGGTCCAAGTATTCACAGATCATAATACCTTTCGATCGATGGGTAAGTCTTTGTACTATGCATTTGTTGCTAGGTTCCTCCTCTCTTTAATCTCTTTCTTCTTGTGTTGTGCACGTGTGCTTATGTTTTAGAAAAGAAAAAGGGAGTTTTATAGGGCCTACATTTATCTCAATATAGATCATCTGAATTCTGATTCTGTCTATAATTTCCAGGCAAAGAGCATGCTCTTGTCATATCCAATCACAGAAGTGATATTGATTGGCTTGTTGGATGGGTTTTAGCTCAGGTGATTATTGTATTATTTAGTATGACCTCTTTCACATATTTAATGCAAGAAAATTAACACAGAATTCATGTATTTATGTATTAGCATGAGTTATTATTTCATTTGCTATTGTGAACTTCGATATTATCATACTGGGACACACATGTGGGGCCTAATTATATATTTGTCTATTTCATCATAAATATGATATGGCCTAAATATATTTTTACTTCGTAAAATTTAGGGTAAATTTGTATTTGGCTCCTCAAATTTAAAATTGATTATTTTAGTCTTATAATTTAAAAAAAAAAATACTTTTTAGTCCCTCAAGACCACTAGTAACATAACTAACCGTGACAGTTTAAGTCAGTTAGGCAATATTACTTGAGTTTAATGTGATATTTTCACTAGCAAAAATACTAGTAGGTGAATTTTATGTTATAGATTCAATAATAGATGAGTATGATTTGACAGATTGACGAATGACATTTGAGTAAAGGGATTGAAACAATTATTTTTAAAATCAAAAGGACTAAAAGAATCAGTTTTAAATTTGAGAGACTAAAATCAAATTGATCCTAAATTTGAGGGAGTCTAAAACCATATTTTAGCCATATGATATTATTAGATTTGAAATTGTGTCTGTGACTCATCTGGTTTTTGCTTCAACTACTGATTGATTTTTGAACATTATTATTCTTCAGCGTTCAGGTTGCCTTGGTAGCACTCTTGCTGTGATGAAGAAATCATCAAAATTTCTACCGGTATGTTTTGTTAGAACTTGTTATTTTGAAATGAAAAGATGGAATGGCACTTGTTTTCCAATCATCTTGTTTTAATGTTTTGATCAGTGGTAATAGCAATAATATGATTTGATATTGGAGTATGAATTTTGAAATGCGGGGATGTATTGTATCTTTATCTTGATAATTAATAGGATGTTCTGTTGGCTGCTTTGGTTTATCACATGATAGATGTCTGCTTAAGGCCTGAACCTGATTAGACATGGAAGCTTTTGAACCTGATTTTCTTGGATTTTTCTGGGGCTTCACTGACCACTTTATCATTTAATGTCAATGTTGATCTATGGGCTAAGTTCCAATATGCAGGTCATTGGTTGGTCAATGTGGTTTTCTGAATATCTTTTCCTAGAGAGAAGTTGGGCCAAGGATGAAAGCACATTAAAGGTATGGGTTACTCAAATATAATTCATATATGTGCTGTTTACTAATAAGAGATTCATTTTCTTACATGTCATATTAATGTGCATAAGCTGTTTTATTATTTGTGAATCTCATTCGAAACTTGATATATTGCATGTGCAGTCAGGCCTACAGCAACTGAGGGATTTCCCTCTTCCCTTTTGGTTGGCTCTCTTTGTAGAAGGAACTCGCTTTACACAGGCCAAACTATTAGCTGCTCAGGAATATGCAGCCTCAGCTGGATTGCCTATTCCTAGAAATGTTCTGATTCCAAGAACTAAGGTGGAATATGAATATTCTCTTCTCTCTTTTGGTTGTCTTTTTTCCTTCCCTTGCTTTTCTTTCCATTGTTTGACTAGGGTATGTTTGCGGGTTTATGGGGTGAATAGAAGGAATCAACAAAGAACGAAGGGGAAGAGAAGGAAAAAGAATAAAGGGGTTACATATCCAGATTTCTTCCCCTTGTTTGGATGGTTAAAATTTAAGATCCTCCAAAATCTTCCATATTCGGGGAACACTAGCATGTTCATAAATTGAATAGGGAGGGTTTTGGACTGTCACCCATTTATTTTCCTTCCCACAAGGAGCTGATTTTATACTATAGTTAGATACAATTTGTGAAAATACCTGAGAGTAATCCTTTTAGCCCTTTGATTTATATTTACAATACAATAACCAAATCACTTAACTGCTGGGATTCAGGGATTGATAAAAGCTATTTACAGAAACTTTGATATCTCTAATTATAAGTGAGGATGAAAGAATATAAGTCTTAGAATTTGGTCTGAGGGCTAACTTAACCTTATAAATTTGGTTTGTAAGGTGAGAATTGCATGAACTTTAGTTAAGCCATATCTCTAATCGATGCAGGACTAAACCACTACCTTTGAAGCTGCAATTAAGGAAACCTCCAAAGAAGCTGCAACTAAGGTAGGCTAGGGGACTGCAATTAAAGTGACTTTCCAACACTCCCCCTCACACCTTTGACTCCCAACCTAGAGTGTGGCAATTGCAGGTGGCCTAACAATAGATTTAGGATAGATTTTGATATTATCTTAGAATTTGATCTTATGGCCTAACTTAATCCCATAAAACCGATTTATAAGGTGAGAGGATTGCCCAATTATCACAAATGAGCTCCATAGGTCCTATTACGCAAAATTTCAATTCTTGAAGTTGTTTCTTCAACCATACAAGTTCACACATATTAAGAGCCATAGCTTGATAAACTACTTTTGCATTTGATTTAGCAACAAATTTTGCTTGTTTTTCAATGAAAAGGTATTGCCTCCAATCTGATCACAAGACCTAGAAGTTGATCATATATCACAAGTGGAGCTTGCCTAGTTTTTCTCTATATATGCAACATGTCTATTTGACCCATATTTTTTAAATTAGCCCCTTTCCTAGAAAACCTTTATTATATTTCAGGATACGAATTCCCTCATCCTTATGATGGTCACAGGGAAAATTAAGAAACTGTCTCACAGCTCACCAGACTAAGAACAAATGATATGTTCGGTCTAGTCATGGTTGTCAAACTAGTGAGTTAACTTGTAGAATCGTACGAGTTTACTAGTCTAGGGTAGGAAAACTGGTTAACTCGCTTCTGGAATCATTTTCTGGTACTCGTGTAGACTCGGCTGGACTTGGATAGAATTGCTCAAAATCGCAAGTCTATGGGCGAGTCTGCTAGTCAGCTTCAGATCAATTTTTGCTCCCTAAATGCCCAAAACGACATCGTTTTAGAGAGGGTTTCTAGTCTCCTCTCTATTTTCTTAAACCTCTCACTTTCTGCTCATGAAAACCACACTCTCCCTCCCTTTGTGTTCTTCGATCTGCCTTTGTTCGAGCTCCCATGACATTGTCTGACTTTGTTCTATCCGTCCAGCGCCATCCTTGCAACTTCTGGTGTTGTCCCTGTAGTTTTCGACGAGTTGTTCGTCCACACGTTTTCCTACTCATCTGATGAGGTTCCACTTGTGAATCCTCAAGTATTCCTTCAATGCTTCTCGGATTCCTTGGAAAGATGTCAAGGAAGATGACTCTAAGAAGCACCAATGTGACCTAGGCTTGCTCTAGCTAAGTCCGGAAGAAGGTAAGATATCCTAGCTCTACAAAGAGAGGAGCTCAAGTAGGTAGAGATAGGATAAGGTGACTTTCGGAGGGAGAGAGTTCTAAGAGGAGAAATCTCATGTATATCATCCAAAAGTAGTACAATTCTCGGCCACCTTGAATGTAAAATTGGCGATGTTGATGAATCCTTTTCTAGTAGTGCATGGCCCGAGGCTCCATCAACCAACCTGTTAATGCTCGACAGGGGGTATGCATCTTTCGGGAAGGCTTTGTTTAAGTCGGTGTAGTCGACGCACATACGCCACTTCCCCGAGCTCTTCTTAACGAGAACCACATTGGCTAGCCACGTGGTGTATCTTACTTCTCGGATGAAGCCTGCGTTCATTAGTTTTTGGGTCTCAGCTGTGATGGCTTCTCGTTTTTTCCCTTTAACTTTTGTTTTTCTTTGGGCCACTGGCTTGGCTTCTTTGTGGATCGCTAACTTGTGACAGATAAGATTAGGATCTATACCTGGCATGTCGACGCTTGACCATGCGAAGAGGTCGACATTTTTAGAGATCTCGGCCATAAGTTGTTTTCACAGCTCTAGGTTTAGTTGTTGGCTTATCTTTATGCATTGCCAGGGTAGTTTGCCGATCTGAAAATTGACTAAATTGTCAATAGGACTTAGGCGATTGTCATTGGATTCTGACCTTGGATCGAGGTCGGTGACTTCAACCAGAACTATGTGAGCCTCGGTGAAGGTGTCACTTTGGCGTCGCTCCTTGGTTGGTGGCGACGCTTTCAAACTTTCGACGTAGCACTGTTGAGTTGTTCTTTGATTGGCCTTGATGGAGATTATCTGTTCGTTGGTCCCCGGGAACTTCATCATCAAATGTGGGGTGCACACTACGGCTCCGAGTTGATTCAACATCGGCCTGCAACGCTGAGTTGTGCTGTATAATGCCAATGCTGAATTTTGTTATGAGCTGAGCTGAATTATATGCTGATTTAAGTTGTTAATGATGAATGTTGTTGAGCTGAGTGATGATTTTGATGTGCTGTGAAATGTTTATGCTGCATTATTGATGCTAAGCTGTAATAGATGTATATTGTCGTGATGAGTTGGGCTGTTATTGATGATTTTCATGTTGAATTAAAATATTGTTGCACTATAGACTGTTGAGCTGAGTTGTGAGTAGTAAGCTGTGTTGTATACTACTTAGCTGTGTTGGATGCTGATATTGATGTGTTGTGCTGAGCTGTTGTAGGCCGTAAGGCTGAGTTGTTGTAGGCCGTAAGGCTGAGCTATTGATCACTAAGATTAGAGATGTTTTCGAAATTCCTCATCCCATTGTGTGGATTGAGTGGCTGCGGTGCTCTTAGAGCCCAATTTGTTGAAAACCCTCCCTGGAAAGCTAATCCTTGGAGTGGTAACTTGCTTTTCTTCTCTAAGTTCTTAGTGGTCCCGTGTGTGGGCAAGGTCGAGGCACACGTGTACAAAGCGACCACGGTATAGGGGTCAGGTCGAGCTATACCGCTTACAAGCGACCAATACTAACTTATATGCGTGACGACGCATTATGTGTTTACTTCTGTTTACCGTTGTGTACTGCTGTTTACTGCTGTTATTGCTGAATGATGTGAGAGGTGTGCTGATATATATATATTAAGTTGATGTTGTTAAGCTGATTGATGTGCTGATAGTTGTAGCTGTTTACTATTCATATATTTATATATGTATGTTGTTTCTTTTCACTAGCTTACCCTTTGTTGTTTCCATGTGGTTTGGACTACGATGATCATACTATGTATGGGAGCAGAGCAGGGTTAGGTTGGTGTGCTGAGGAGAGTCTGCAGCTGGCAGATGGCGTTTGATTATTTTGTAGTATTTAGCTATTTAGTATAGCGATGCTGGTTGTATTTTGTGCACTCTAACTCTAGCCAGATTTGGACCTTGTATATATATATATATTCTAGACACTATATGTATATACTTGTTCGTTTCTGTGTGGTATTCTGGTGTATTGTGCTGTGTGTAGTGACCAGTCGGGTCATTACATCTAAACTAAACAAGAAAGGTTTAGTAAGAGGACTACTCAAAATTTGTTGGAAAACTCATCTTCTCTATAAAGCCTATCAGAAGGAAAAACAAATTAAAAGTTCTTTCACATCTAAAAAGGTTATTCCACTTCTCGACCTTTACTTATGGATTTTTTTGGTCCAACTATAACTTTGAGTTTAGGAGGTAAAGAGTATGAATTTCTCATTGTAGATGACTATTTTAGATACACATGGTATACTTTCTAGCTCATAAACATGAGTCTTTCAAGGTATTTGAGGTATTCTATAAACAAGTTCAAAATGAAAAAGGTTTTTGTATAACTACTATTAGAATGATCATGAAACTGAATTTGAAAATTCTAATTTTAAACTATTTTGCAAAAGGAATGACATCTTTCACAACTTCTCTTCATCATGAACACCTCAACAAAATGGGGTAGTTGAAAGAAAGAATCACACTTTATAAGAAATGGCTAAGACCCTTCTTTGTGAAAATTCTTTACTAAAACACTTTTTGGCAGAAGCAATTAACACTACTTATTACATTCAAAATAAAATATTAATAAGACCAATATTAAGCAAGTCTCCTTATGAATTATGGAGGGAGAGAAGACCCGACATATCATACTCCCATTCTTATGGATGTGAATGCTATGTCCTAAACCCTAAGGATCAAATAGGAAAGTTTGACTTCAAAGTGGATAAGGATAATATTTTTCTTAGATATTCAAATACTTCAAAGGCATATAGAATCTTTAACTCTAGAACCTCTGTTATTGAAGAATCAATCCATGTTAATTAAGTTTAATGATGCTTTCATGACTGATAGGAAACTATTAGATCTAGAAGAGCAATTTCATATTTGCAAATTGATCTTGAGAAGGAAAATGAGATAAAAGAGCAAAACTATCTAATAAACCAAAGGACAAACAAATCAGGCAAATGAAACATTCAAATCTCATAAAGATTGGAAGTTTGTAAAATATCATCCACAAGGTCAAATCCTAAGAGATAGGGATGAGGGTGCTAGAACAAGGTCTTCTTTCAAAGACAATGTTTCTTATTCTATGTTCTCAAATATAAATCCAAAGATGATAGGGAAGCACTAAAAGACAACAACTAGATTCTAGCTATAGAAGAAGAACTCCATCAGTTTGAAATAAATGATGTTTGGACACTTGTTCCAAATATGGAATATTAGAGTATTATAGGGACTAGATGGGTCTTTAGACATAAGTAAGATGAAAAAGGTAAAATGGTAAGAAATAAAGCTAAATTTGTAGCATAAGGTATAAATTTTAGTGAAACCTTTGCATCTGTTGCTAGGCCTAAAACGATTAGGATTATGTTATCCTTTGCAACTCATAAAGACATCAAACTTTTTCAAATGGATGTAAAGAGAAATTTTCTAAATGGTATTATTGAAGAGGAAGTCTATGTAAGACAACCTCCCTATTTTGAAAATCCTA